AACAAGGACTCCTACAGATTTACTGCTGTGGGCAGGACAGAGGAGGAGGGAAACACAAACACAAACACACAAGTTCCACTCCAATTAGTTTCTACAGGCCAATATTTGGATTTTGCACATCAGCATGTGTCCAGACTCATTCTACTGCTGATATTTGGATTGTGGTTTTGTTGTAGTTCCAACTGACAAATACATTTTATATATATTTTTTGCACTTTTTACTTCTGTACTTAAGCATATGTTCTACTTTAGTGTATTTCATTGTGGTTTCAGTGTTTCCAGGTTTGTTCTACATGTTACATGTTGTCGTTCTACTTTGTTTTAGTGGTAAGAGACAATTTTCGGCTCTGGAAGACAGTAAAGTTTTATTCTATTATATTGAATCACACCAGGTCAATTTTATTTATTTGATCCGAAAAGGATTCATTAAATATTTTGAATTAAAATGAATGTCAAGAAGATTGTTTCCAAAATGTGCATGACATCTAGTTTATTGCCCCTTGGATCTAATTTTAAAAGTTATTTTCGTCAACATTTTAATTCATGCACCAGTTCATTTACAAGTTAATAGCTGATTTTTATAACGTGGTTACATCACAGGAAACCAGTTGGTCCAGTAAGGCAACAACACGAGACACACGAGATCAAACAATTACACGGGTTGCAAAGAAAACCCTCATTTGAACCCTATAAGCACCTGAAACTGAAAGTGAGCACACCCAGAATATCTTACAATCCTCCAGATCCCAGAATGCTTCTACTGAAAGGTTGAACCAGGAAGTTACTCTACAAACCCCAATGGACATTTACAACAGACAGATGGCGCAAACATTTTTAAAACTTGTCTGACCCAACTACAAAAGTAAGAATTAAATGGCAAAAAAACCCAAAACACCAAGTCACAGTTAAACAAAGCTGCGTAGCAGGTTTTCTGCATCTGTTCAGGAAGTCAATGAATATCTAATAATAATCCACTTTCACTCAGCTGTCACCGTGCTGTCAGACCGGGGTGGAATCTGGTTCACCTGCAGATTCAAAACCCTTCAGCTACGCCCCAAAATAACGACGTCACCCACTGAAAACATCTGCTGAGTGACTGATTTATAACCAGCTTTACTTCACTGCACACAGCGCGCAGTGACAGGAAACGAGGGAGAGACTAATGTGTGATGAAGGTGCCGAAAGCAGTCACGACATCCTGACTTCAAACATTATGTCTCATTTATCATTGGCGGATCTACTGTGAAACCACCTGAAATGGTCTGCTGTGCACTGAGGTGATGAGGAGGGAATGGGCAGTTAGCGACGAGCACAGATCAATAAACACGAGTATCGTACTGAAAACATGTCCAACTGCATTCCCGGGGAGGCTGAAGCAGCGAGCCAAAGAGTGAAAGACAGCTGAAGACAAAGGAGTTTAATTTGTGGAAAGAAATGCAGAGAATAAACATAAATGAGGCTCATCGAAAAGGAAACTGCTGATGTGATTAGTCGGTTGGCAATTTCTGATAATCAATGAGTCATCTATCAAATAAAATTGCCCCCAAAACTGCTGATTCCAGTTTCCTCAATGTGATCTGCTTTTTTGGTTTTATGCGTCTTTGTAAATTGAGTATTATTGGTTTTGGATAGGGCTGCAATGATTATTCTCATTAGTGATTAATCCGTTGAAAAATGTCCTCAAATGTCTTGTTTTGTCCGCAACCTAAAGATGTTCAGTTTGCTGTCAAAATATTCACATTTAAATAGCTGAAATCAGAAGATTGTACATGTTTTTCTTAGAAAATGACTGACTGGCAATTAATTTAATAATTACTAACTAATCTACCAATTTAGTGTTGAACTGTCGTGTGAACACTTTATAGATTAAACAAATCCCCTAATCCAAAAACTAATAAACAGATAAATCAATAAAGAGTCCAGTCATACTTGCAGCCCTGGAGCCAAAGCTTAGGAAGCCACTTCTGGCACCCATCTATTTGCCAAAGAGATGAACATGTCATCAAGCATTCAAATATGGTGTGATAACTTGCACAGTAGGTCTCTTCAGCCTGAGGCCATTTCTCTGCATTTGATGGGGACATGAAAATAAGAGCGATAACACATAGTTTGCATCTCTCCACAGGGAGAGAGCGAGCCCAGTAAGTCCACGAAGGCCTTCTACGCTCCAACCCGCATCGGACCGTGCTAGTGTTCGAACAGGAGCCACAATGCATGCCTGCAGCCAACCCCACGAGGCACGCAGGCAGGCTCTCACACCCTGCCGTGCACCTGTCAGAGGCATTCCCACCATACCGCGCAGCATCAACGCACGCTCCCAGGATTCCTCCCGCCACCGTTCCCGCTGCAGGCTCAGGTGTTACCCGCATGGAGCTCAGTCTACCAGAAACAACAGACACCTGCCAGAGACAACTTCAGCAGCCAATCAAAAGGCTCACGGTGTGGAGGTGCAACAAGATTACCTTTCAGAGATCTTTAAAGTATTTCACAGTTCATGTGATAATGCTGAATATTTCTCTTTTGGTAAATTTGCGGACACCTTTGGTGACTAAGTCTGTTTTCATAACAGATCCATGAGCTCCCTTGGTAACAAATCCCAGATCAATTGAAGGGGTTAGCAGCATTTAGTCATTTATTCAATTGAATAAGAGAAAAGATCTGTACGGCTGTAAACCACAAACATTCTTTAACCGAGAGCACATTAAAAGGTATCATTAATTCATTAATGACACAATCAAGCAGATTTTTGAAAAGGAAGAGACGGTGGCTCATCTTCCGTCTCAGGTTTACACTTCTACTGACCGCCCACTTATTAGCCACAGGGAGCTAACTCAATAGCCATAAGCTTGTTAAAAAATAATAACACATTTAGTTTCATTCAGCTAAACATAATCAGCACTGTGCTACACAGCAGGGAGAGCTTGATTTACTGCCAATGATCTGATACATTAAAAGATACATACGAAGCAACTACCAAGGGGCTGCAGTAGCTCAGTCCGTAGGTACAGAGCAGTCCATCAGTCCACCATCTCTCTGTGTGTGTGTGTGTGTGTGTGTGTGTGTGTGTGTGTGTGTGTGTGTGTGTATTTCAGGTCTATGTGTGTAAAAAATTAATTGAAAAAAATTGGGTAAATAATTAAATAAATCTTCTTTTTCAATGCAATAAAATACGATTTAGTCGTATTGTGAATCAACATGATCCGATTAAAGACAATGTGACTCAACGTGATTCAATGTGCAATACAATACAGCAAACCCATACTGTCCCTCTGAACATCTCCACCCAGACAAGCAAATGTCTTGGGGGAAACCCTGTCACAACACTGTCTGCCATCAGTGATGTGGTTGCTTTAGAGAGAAAAAGCCAAGTCAACATGAAGAACCTAGAAGGGGAATAATGAAAAACCAGCAACTGGAGGAGTGCTTGACCTTTACATTCGGATGAATCTTTTGATTGGCTGGAAGACGTTGCTCTTATTTTTGTGATACTTTGCTGATTTCACACACACACACACACACACAGTACAAACAAGAAGTTCAGGGACGACCTCTGAAATTCATTCTGGGGAATAAAGGAGAGCAGAAACTGAGGTAGAAGTGTCAGGTGGAGGAACAGTGGGTACGGACCCGGCATAAATCCTTTCAGGAATTTCCTGAACATCACAGATGGATGATCATGACGGAGCAGGTGAGGCATGTAGGGCAACAAACACACACGCCGCAGTCATACAACCACTCAGCTTTATCAGAGCGCACAACGTCGCACGACTCGAGCACTCACACCGGAACCTGTTGCTATGACAACTGTGGGTTTCTGCGCAACAGTGGGAGAAAAATCAACAGGGACTGAGTCACTTCCTGTCTCACACAATTCTTCCTCTTTTGAATCTGCAAGCCCGCAGTGGGGTCGACTTCAGAGTCACTAAAAGCAATCAGACAAGGCTGTTAACAAGCTCAGGCAGCCTGTGTGTGTGTGTTTGTGTGTGGGTGTGGGTGTGTGTGTGTGTGCACTGAGTAAAAAGAAAGATGTTACCTACTTCTTCTTAAATTTCAAGCGACAAATGATAGCAGAAGTTCGAAGTTTGGCTATGTGCTTATCTCAAAAACCTTTCAGGAAATAACTTTTAGCTTCACATCGACGTATTACTGCACTCTATCCACAAGATCTCATCTCATCTGTCCAAGAGTGGAGCTGCACGGGCATCATTCGAAATGTTGAGTCGGTATCACGAATATGATACCCGAGTTTCAACACCACACTGAGTATTTATTTTACAAAACCCATTTAGAAAGAAGTCCTGAAACGTTAATATTTAAGGGGAACTATCGGATCAAAGCACAACTACACAAGATGAATCTGACCCGACATTCAATGCCACCTTACAATTTTTGATTCTTGTGATCGATTGTGTTACAGTCGGTATCGAACATGCACTGCACCAGCCCAAACCAAGAGGTCATATAATGTATAATAAAACAATATAATCCATCAACTGTAGCTGAAACATGAATGCGGATTACATAACCACACTGATGTCCACTGCACTGAACTAGATAGCTGGACTAAAACCCCAGATGATCAGGCGATTAACTGATTAGTTGAGCGACAGAGGATCTTGAGGATCTTCTTTTCATTCATTTCGAAGAGTAAAATCTTTTAGTTTTGGACTGTTGGTCGGACAAAATAAGCTATTTGTAGACTTCTCTTTGACTTCTAGAAGTCATATTTTCACTATTTTCTAAGATTTTAGAAGAACTAATGGAGAAAATAATTGGCAAATAATAACTGTTACTTGCAGCCCTAATAATAGTTCCATATTACTTTCTACACTTTAGAATTCTTCTGGAAGGACGATAACCACTCAATAACGCTGAGCTCCACAGTGAGAAACAATCTGTGATGTGAATCAGAGTTGGTGTCATCACAGGCTCTTGGCCTCTCTCTCAGCGGCCCGCAGAGGTTCAGCCACTTTACGCTTGAGCAGTTCTCCAGCTCTTACCTTTTGGCTTCCTCCAGGTGACACAGGTACTCGTAGGCCATGTTTTGCTGCCGCCGCTCATCCATCTCCTCGGCTGTGAGCCGCTCCACGCCATCCAGGACGGCTGGAGCCCAAAACAGAATGACAAGAATTAATGTAATGACTCTAAGGCAATATCACAAGAAAACTCAGTCTCTTGCTGAACATACTCTAAATGAATGTATTATTCTTTACATTTTGGTCATTTTATGAACAAATAGCTGTGTATTAACTTTTTCCTGGTTGCATAAGCAGGGGAAAGTTTCCATCCAGCTCCCTGGCTTCTCCAAAGTTCCATACTGAGGTGTTTTACAAAAGGAAACCACCTCATTTATTAGTCATCTGTGTAGCCAGTTAACAAATGAGCTCAATGTGGCCCGGTGCTGTCGCACTGTATGATGTGAGCATGCCTTTGTCTGTAAATGGCATGCTTATTTATACACTGAAAACAAAAAACAATGCAGGGGAGTTTATGGGCTGATTCCCATGAGACCACAGAGTGCAGCCCTGATTCCGCCTGCAGAGCAACGTTCCCCAAAGAAGTTCTCTCCCAAATTATGGAGAGGGGGATGGGGGACAGGAGGGTGCGCAATACAAAGAGGCCCCATTTTAGCCTCCTGTCACAGCTGAGCCTGTATGGGATCACTGGCAATATCATCAACAGGTAAATCCTGATCTCAACAAAAACTGAGCCTGCATCCCATGAAAACCTGAGAAATGTCCTCTCAAGCACCAGTTTGTGAGTTTTTTGTATATGCACTCCAAATGAGACTCTGGCATATGTCAGCTAAGCAAACTACTTCTTGTTTTCCATATTTGATAGATAAAAGGACTGTAGAGTTTTATTGTTTAGTCCAAATGAAAGATGGAGAACTTAATCAAACATTTTCTTCAAACTTTGCCCACAAATGAGTCAGAGATTCATTTTAAAACCTCCATGGGCGGTGGTTGTCGGGTAATTTCATGTCTATGAAGAACTGAAAAACCTGAGGTGAGTTTTAACATTGTGTCCTGTTTTAAACATAAGTGGCACAAATACATGCATGTAATAACTCGGGCTGTATTATGCAATGTGGTAAAAGTTGTGTAAAGTGTAAAAGCAGGCCTCCTTCAATCTCCACTCTGCCATGCATTATTATAAAAACGCGGAAGTGATAATTAGGCAGTAACCATGCTGTCAGAAATTAAACCCGAGCTGACTGGGAGCGGTTTTTTCACAGATAAATGAGACTTTTTCTGGACTTTGGGGGCGTTTGCATGAGCAGAAGCGGAGTTGGGATCCGGAGCTGTTTGCCCCCCCTCCCCCTGTACAGTGAGGGAAGCAGCCCGCCTGGCATCTCAAGGTGAGCAGAATAAAAGAGTTAACTTACAGCCATATCTCGGCCGGAGCCCGTCTGTGTCGTCTGAAGTTGACATCCTCCTCTCTTGAGAAACGCTCCACGGTTCGCTTCAGTACAAAGTTTACGCACAGTCTGCGCACTTCGGTTCCCAAAAGTTTCCGGAGCTAAAAAAAACACTGACAACCGAGAGAAAACCGGGAAGGACCTTTCGGCCCTCTTGTTCCTCCTCTGCACACTTTGAGTTCAGACTTTTTTCTTCTTCAAACCTCACTGATGTCACTGGGTGTGTTCTTCCTAATCCTGAAGTATGCGTTTCAGGAAACGGAGCTCAGCAGCCTCCAGGCGGCCGAGCTGCAGGCGCAGCGACCCCTGCTGTCCGCTGCAGGCAGGAGACGCTGCAGGTTTCTTAAACTGGGGTCCGGGGGACCTTTAGGGGCTGTTAAGTGGGACCCTGAGAGTGGGAAATTGTTTAAAGGTGTTTTAAGCGTTCAGGATTTATGTTTCTGTTTCCAGATACACCAAAGCACAGTGAATGAAACATGTTCAGCATCAGTTGGAAATATTTGTGTAAGTTATTCTGAGCTCACAGGCTGAAAACAATAATAAAACAACCAAACTGATCATCTGAAAAGAATCGTGTGGATTTGGCAGCTTCTTAAAAAATGACTGACTGCAGCAATGAAAAATAAAAGTGTATCATGTGCAGAAGTATGTTTTATTAGGTTTGATTAATTAATGACTACATAAGGATTATTTTCTTTTCTGTTTTTCAGTAGCAAAGATTCTTCACACCTTACATCATCAGCTGACTTTTTATGGTTATCAGTGTTCTTCACCTCTAACTTCAGCTTCATCTGATCTTATATATATTCTCAGTTTCTTTCTTCTTGCAAACCTTTTGTTGTCTATTTTTGCCTTTGTATTTATTATTCTTTAACTGTAGACCATGTACAACTGAAGTCTAAAGTTCAAGAAGAAGATTATTTAGTCAAAACTGTAAAACCTGCTAATTTACTTAACTGTGGTCATTCTGATGAAGACAGTTTTTATTTTATGTCAGCATCCATGGTTCAAAAGCACGGCCAAACCTGACTCAATATATTTACATTTACATTTTTTAGACAGATATATAAGATTTATAATTAAAAATTAAAAGTGAACACATATGAAGTAATTTTGTAAATTACTTAAGTGTGTAGGAGAAACTACGACGGCCATGAAACTCACAAAATAAACGGGAATGGTCCTATCTCCAGATCTACAGCCTGTGTTTGATTTGTCCATTCTGGGCTACTGTAGCAGTTCAATATGGCAGACGCGCTCACTCTGCAGATAAAAACAGCTCATGTTAATGAATATTATATTCCATTAAAGGGGTATTCCAGCTATTTAATATTGTAGAGCAGGGATGTCAAACTGCCTTCATCCCCCTCCCTCCGGCCCCTGAGATGAATTTAAATAAATTAATTATTATTATTATTATTTTTGATTTTCTTCTTGTTGTTTCAACAACCCCTTAACTTATTTAATTGAAGTTAAATAAAACCACAATTCTATTTTTAAAAATGTATTTCATTTGGCACAAAATAATGATAAAGAGTGCAGACAGCTGATAAGAAGATTTTGGGGCTTTCACTGTTACTTGGCTGCAAACAGTTTTTTGTTTTCTTGTAGTACTTGAAAGCTACAGCGGCCCTCCCATTGGATGACAATACCACCAATGGTCTTAAGCCAACTGGAGTTTGAGACCCCGGTTGCAGAGGCAGAGATAATCTGATGGTTTGTCCCTTTTATGGGTCAAACTCCAAAAACACTAAGTCCTACAGTTACCATAACGCAACCAATGTCATCTTTTTGTTGGAGTGGAGTTTCAAACTAGAAAAACCTGCAGTTTTTGTAAAGGAAACTTCCATCCAATATGAGCCTGATGACATCACCGTGACATCAACAGGGTTATTTTCACAGACTTGATAAACAGGTCGAGAAAAACATTTATGTGTAAAATCTTTGGAGTGCCTCTTTAATATATCGTTGCTTCTCAGTGCTGCAGACCACACAGTCTATTATGAACCAGTCTATGTTGTTCATTGTCCACTATTTTCCTTATAGGACCAGGATCACATGAAGAGAAGGGAAAAGACTTTTTATCTTGATGCTTTCTTTCCTTTCTGGGACTGTCGGTTCATCAAATAAATCTTTTATACAGCAGACATTTTGACTTTCTGACTGAAACACAGGTGTAACCAACAACAGCATGCACAATATAAGCACACTGGAACAGTTTTGCCAATTTTGGTCATGACAAATACATTAAAAAGATGAATAATGTATCGTGTTGTTTTGAAACAGCAAAATGTTCCTCTTCCCCATTTAAACACACAGGAGCATCCCTCTCCTCCCCCTCACACACACACATCTGAGCTGTGATGTAAATCGTTATGTTGGAGGCAGAAAACAGATGAGTGTTGACTTTCTCTCCACAGGGACAGATCTCTGTGTCCTGTGAGACAACAGCTTTATTAACCATATTAATAGTTAACAGAGTGTTACAGCTCCACCAGGAAGCAGAAAATACTGAATTTAGAAACAAAGTTCTCATTAGAGTTAGTTAGATAATCAGCAACCTTCATCTGCAGACCTGCACTTTAGTTTTATTACAGAGCATTTTAAGACTTAAAGGACCAGTGTGTAGGATTTAGTGGCATCTAGTGGTGAAGTTTCAGATTGTAACTCACTGAACACCGCTTGTGTCTGTATTTGATGACCTGGTAATGAGAACAAATGAAAACATACCTATGGATAATTTATTCCATTTCTGACAATAGATCCTTATAAATGTGACATATTGGACCTTTAATTAAGTCCAATGGATTAAGTAAGTAATGGAAATATTTAGAAAGCACCAATGGAGGAAAACAGTGAAAATCCTGCAAAAATAAATATACTCAGTTCCTTTAAGGTTGTTATGTTATAACCTGTAAAGTATTTTAATATGATGGTCTTGGTCCAGGTCATGACCCCACATAGCAAAACTGTTCTGGCCACATATGGCCTATGACATATCCATATCTCACCCAGCTCTATGAACATCGCTGGCCCTTAGGTTTTTGTTGATTTTTGGTGATTTAATTTCCTCATACAACTATTTGTGTGATCCAACATAGGGCCAGAATAGGGCCAGCATTAGTCATACAGATGATGAGATTTGGATCTGGATCACCTGTGGCCCATAAATTCATTGCTTTATTAGTGTAAATGCGATGTGTGTACCGTCACTGGGCCAAACCAATATGTGGGACAGTGTTCAGCAATAAGTCATCAAGTCACCTTGTATCTCTGGTTTTGTGCATTTTCATGCTTTCAGATGAGCTGAGAGATCACATGCTGCTGTAGAGATATCACATTCATTGTGTCAGTAGCTGAAACGAGGCTGTTGAGTTGAACATTAATGCTGGGGTTGTTTTGTAGGTTATGATCTGATTTAATGTGGGACGTACAGTCAAGTCTGTGCCTGCAGTAACTATTAACTACAAATAAACAGATAAATGTGCTGTAGTTGTAGCATATCAAATGTTACTTGGTTCAGTATTTGATAGTACTTCCCTATTTGATAGTACTTCCCTTGTTTTGATGGTCATATCACAATCCCTCTTGTTTTGCTGCTATATTGGTGCATTGTGATGGGCTACATTTATTGTAAAGACTGATGCTAGTAATTATCATGGAGGTTGGAGTATGACTTGTTGTTTGGTACAAAATCGAGTGTGAAGTGAAGATATAAAAGTCACTGCACCCAAAGGCGAAAACACAATCCAACAAAATCAATTTCTCTTCTAGAGAGGCGTTTATTAGTTTGTTTGCTCTCACACGACATCATTTGAAAACAGTGTGACTCAACACAGCAAAGTCACCGCTGTGAGTTAGAATCTGAAGCCACACTGAGGCACATCACAGAGACCTGGATCTATTTTCTTCGCTCTTTATGAGGAGATGCCATCTGTATTTTAAAATAATCTGAAGAAAATCCACAGTAAGTGTGTGTTTATCAGTGTTTTTATTGACAGAAAAGCTTTAAACCTGGAATGCCTTGTTACCTGACAGCATGATCTGTCCACCCGCTTGTACTGAGAGTGTACATTTGACGTGGGTTGATAAAGGTTAAATGTTTCCTGATGTGATGAGAAAAGACAGCTTCACACATTTCACTATGAAACTCAACCCTTCACTTTTATGCACGGTTTAAGGGTTTTTTATGGGGAGTAAAAACCTCTTAAAATTCACAAAATGGAATTAAAGCCATCCTTTACCTGACAGAATGTCACGTGATCAGGTAGTTCCTGTGTTTGATGTGGACTTATTGAGTCCTGATGGGACCTTCATATGTTTCCTGGATCGATGTGTCCCATGCAATTTTAATATTTATATTAAGATTTTGTAAGTAACAACTCTTGGATGTATTCATATACTCTGACTGCTTGACATCATTTACAAATGGGGATGTTATTTATCCTCCAAACATCCTCCCCTGACATCCCTGCCCACACCCCTGCATGCTAATCCCGCAGTGGCCTTTCGGGCGGGGCTTTATGAGTCAATATAAGACGAGAAGGTCCGGTGGGTTGAGGGAGAATCTCCTGTGGACCTGCTGCGACCCCTCTGCTCCTCCAGTCCTGATCTGCTGCCTCCTGCCGGGACCTTCGCACTCCTCCTCCTCCTCCTCCTCCACCGGGACCAGTACCATGGATAGCTCCAGGATGCTCCGCGGACTGCTGTTTGTCGGCCTGCTGACCGTCATGTGTCACGGCCAGACGCCCCAGGAAGTCTCCGTAGAGGACGTTGGAGAGGACAAAACCGAGAACCTAGACAAAGACATGGTCAGTATCTGAAGAGCTCCACGTTAGTTTATGGAGGAATGTCAAAGTCATTCAGATCCATGATGCTGTAAGGTCATGTTACTGACCAACCACCAGTGTGTAGCATTCAGCTCTCAGTACCGGTAATGATCTGTTAGGCAACATGTTAGTTCACATTTTAAGTGTTAAGTTTAAGTTTGTTGTGTGTGTGTGTGTGTGTGTGTGTGTGACATTTCGAATTTCTTTAGTTTAACTTAACAGGAAACACAAAGAACTTGCAGAAAACATTTCAAATAATTCATTTTATATTACACCATTTTAAGAGATAATAAACAATAATAATATATGTGGACTTTTTCTTAAAATAATCTTTATTGCAGTTTGTAAGTGTAAGTGTGTGAGTTTCTTCACCTCACCTATCAACTGATTAACCTCCTCAGCTCCGCCAACCCCTGATGCCTGGCAACCAGTCCATGTTCAGACACACAGAACATTACTTTACGAACATTATTTGAACTTCTAGTGGAGAAATTTCAGAATATATATATATATATGTATATATATTTGGTGAAAATGTGGGAGAATAAAATTAATATTACCAGACATCTGGAATATTTTCAATTTGATTTGATTATGTGGCATCTTGGGTTTGAAAGTATAAGATTTTTTGACCTGAACTGAGAACATAAGGGGATATTTAAGAATTTCTGAGGTTAGCATGCTCGGACAACTGTGATTTTCCCCTCAGGCCTAATGACTCTTGTTTTTGTGATCCAATCTTTGGCGAGCAGATTGAAGCCCTGGAGGCTCTGCTGGGCAGGATGCATAACCGCATTTCCTCCACTGAGAAAAGAGGAAGCATCCCAATGGTAACTTTGTTCACTGTACTTCTGCTTAATCAACCTTTATCTTATTCCCAGTAATAGAGGGAAGTATTTAGATTATTTACTTCATTAAAAGTACTAATACCAGAAGTAAAAGCCACGCATTGAAAGTTTTACATACAAAAGAAAGTACAAAAGTATTAGCATCAAAATATACTTAAAGTACAAAAGGTAAAACTGCTCATGCAGAATGGCCCATCATATTAATAATATATTATTATAATAATCATATTATATTATATTTGATAGAGTAATGTACCTATGATGTTAATGGAGCTAATTTAAATACTTAATATACTTCAGGGCAGCTTAATCTATAAAAATACATTATAATTTATTTGCTGATCATATTTTGTATAAATAATCAGAATCTGTAAAGTAACTAGTAACTAAATGTATCAAATAATTGTAGTGGTGAAAAATGTATAAAGTAACTAAATGTACTTACATTCCACCACTGCCCTGTAATTAAAAGTAATTTAGGGATTAGTTTGATGAGGCTCCGTCGTTCCTGTGTATTCTGTACATCACTCCATTGCTGTTTAATTAAACCAGTTAGCATAAGAAACCTGCCAGTAATTAAAAGATAACAAGAAAATGCCAACAAGAGCCTTTTACTCAGTGCAATTACAGCCTAATCAAGATTGCTGCCCAACTCCAATTAGCTGGAAATCTACAAAAACCTTTCAATCCCTCTGCCCCCTCAGTGGAAATAAATCACTGAGAAATAAGACAGAATCAGCTAATGAACAGGATTTAATGAAAATGCTGGAATGATTAAAGTCTGAGCCTCATTCTCTTGTATCAATTAAATCAGAGGAATTAATGATGAAAACAATTAATCAAAACAAATTAATTAATGGGAAGGCCTGTGTAGCATTTGCTAGTATATTTTTTTTTTTACACATTTTTAAATATAAATTAATGCTGCCAGTGATGAAGGTCCCAAACATCAGTGTAATTTCTGGAATTTGTACAATCTCAAGTATCTGAATGTTTGTAAATGACCTCTATCTCCCTCCTCCCGTCAGTGTGGGATGGGGGACCGGTGTGCCATGAAGTACGGGTCTCGCATCGGGAAGCTCTGTGACTGCAGCAGAGGATCCACCTGCAACTCCTACCTGCTTAAGTGCATCTGAATCTGCATTTCCTTTTTCTTTTTACACAAACAGCATCACTTCTGCAGGACCAAACATCCTTTACGAGCTCAGCAGGCTTCACAGCTTCCACAAACCCCTGATACTACATCTGTAATATCTTCATTTATATTTACATTATGAATTATTATTGATTCGGCGGCTGTTGCCTGAGGATAAGCATGGATTTTGTATTGCTGACATTCCTGGTTATCTCCTGTAGCATGTAAATGTTTCATGTTCAATAAACACATTAATCAAAATATCCTTTGGTTATTTGATTTGTACAAAGATTTCTCATAGTTGGTTTCAAACTGACAACAGTTTGTATGCAAACATCATGTCATCAGGCAGTTTTTCAAGATAAGAACATTTGTTTATACTCCACATTCAACATTTTCACCTGCTACCAACAATAATTCACTTGTAAAGATGAATTTCCACATTTAAACACACAATATTAAATAAATAACATGTTTACATTGTAAATGGGGCGCGACTGCATCCGCGTGTTGACATCATCCACTTTCACATGTGACTTCTTATGCAAACGAGGTTGTTTGTATAATTTTTGTTTATCCAGCGCCCATCCTGGTGTACATGAGGTGTACTCAGCTGGAAGGACAGTACTGTGCAAATGAGAGCTTTTCAGAGCCACTGGAGTTTGTCGCTGCTCCTGCACATACAGAAATAAATAATTTTGCTCTTCATACAAGGTCAGCTGGTGTGGTTTCAGATGACTGTTAGGCCAATAAAGACCATCTACTGCTATCAATTACATGATTAATTCATTCAGTTTTATTCTTTTATGTTTTATGGGGACATGAATGATCATTTCTGATAGGAAGTCAGAGTTTCTAAACGGTCAAATGTTATTACAGGCAGCCAGGAAAGTATAATGCACTGATATACTATATTATTATACATGTTAGCATATAGTTGCTTATTTACACATCCAGCAGTTACAGAGCGACATTTTCGTTCATTTGGAGTTGTGTTTCTGTCCACCTGATAAGTCCAATAATCACTCTCTCCAATAAAGACTCTGTCTTGGTCTCCATCAAATCAAGATTCTTTAGCTGCTAGATGTTCCATTATGTTCACCAGCTAGTCTCTAACATGGTTTCTAGTCTCTTTGTTTCTAGGACTAGCTGCATATTGTATGTTGTACAATGTGTTCATCAGAGCTTGTTTGCTGAAAACAGCTGCCAGTCGCAGCTGGAAACTGGTTCGATGAGAACACTGAGACTGAACCAAACAGTAAATGTGTTGTAAAACCAAAACAATGAGCTAAAAGAAGCTCCTTTCATATGACATATATATTCATTATTGATAGGAAAAGTAGCCTTTATATTAAAATTGTTGTCACAGTCCAGTTTATTTGAGATCTGGAGTTGTCAGGTTTGATTACATATTTATCTCAGTGGGGGATCAGAAATTAAAGCTTGAAGCTATTTTAACCAATGAAAAGGGAGAAAAACATTTATATGTACGTCACACAACCACCTGCAGTGAGTTTTGTCTGAGTTCTTTTCAAATACACACTTTAATATTCTTCCTAAGGCCAGAAAACTGCTGCTGCACCAAACTGATGTCACAGCAGATATTCTACTTTAGATAGCCGATGGAAAACACCTGCTGGGTCATCACTGTTGGGGTGGAGCCAAGTGAAACATGCTTATAGAGTCCAATATAGCACAGCATGAATTTACCTTTAAAAAAGGTAAAACATACAAACAAAAAAAACACTCTAGCCAGCATGAGAGCTACACATTTCTGGAGGTGTATTCGAATCCACAATGTTGCATAAAGATGTTTTGCACTTGAGCTGAAATAGAAAGAAACTCTTTTAGTAACTGACTATTCTTAAAGTTTTACCCCTACCTCTGTCAGAGTCTGTGCTCCCCACTGCTGCACACATTCAACCACAGCTTGTAATGAATATAGTTCATTCATTCACAGTGTTTTTGCTGTACTTCACAGCAAACTGTGACAATTGAAAGCAAAGCATCCAGCTGTGACAAAAGCCACGCTCCGAATAATAAAAAAACGCTGAAAAGCTCAGCAGATCCGGCTCACGGGCGCAAGTGGCCTGCAGCCAGCAGATACATGCTTTTATTCGTCCCAGGAGTCCTAATCCGCAGAACCATAAAAGACTGAAGAGCTCATTTAAAGGTCCTTTGGCTCCTTTTGGCGCTGGGGAAAAGATAGGAGACAAACAGCAGTGTAACGTTTCCTTCGTTCAACGCCTGAAGCAATTTAGCCTGTAATAAAAACAAGTCAATAGTGAATGAAAAGTGTTTTCATTGTTGAATTCTGCTGGGCTCAAGCTTTTTTTGTTTTGGCCCGTTGCAGAATAGAAGGCAGTGTGGTATCATATTCAATAAGTCATCATATTCCATGCACTGCAGAGCAATTTCTACGTATATGACTATATCTTCCTGTTCTTAATCATTACAGTATGAGACTCATTTTAATGCATTACATAAATAAATTATTGTTATATTTCATTTCATTCAATAGGGTACTATGAGCTCTTTAAGATATGAAGGGGCCTGACCATCAAGAGCTTTATAGGTGAGGAGGAGGTTTTTAAATTCTATTCTAAATTTTACAGGGAGCCAGTGCAGAGAAGCTAGTACAGGAGAGATGTGACCTCTTTTTCTAGTTCCTGTCAGTACTCATACTGCAGCGTTCTGAATTAATTGGAGCGTTTTAATGGACTTATTGGGGCAACCTGATAATAAAGAGTTGCAGTTATCCAGCCTAGAAGTAACAAATGCATGGATTAGTTTTTCTGCATCTGTCTGTGATAGGATGTGTCTAATTTTTGTAATATTACGTAAATGAAAGAAGGCAGTCCTAGAGGTCTGCTTTATGTGGGAATTAAATGACAAATCCTGATCAAAGATAACTCCAAGATTCCTGACAGTGGTGCTAGAGGCCAAGGTAATGCCATCTAGAGTAACTATATATCTTTAGACAGTGAGTCTCTAAGGTTTTTGGGGCCAAGTACAAGAATTTATTTTTTTTCTGAGTTTAACATCAGAAAATTGCAGCTCATCCAAGATTTTATGTCCTTAAGACATGTTTGTAATTTAGATAATTGAATAATTGATTAATTTCATCGGGCTTGATCGAGAGATATAACTGCGTATCATCTGCATAACAGTGAAAGTTAATGGAGTGATTCCTAATAATGTTGCCTAAAGGGAGCATATATAAAGTAAATAGTACTGGTCCAAGTACAGAACCTTGTGGAACTCCATGACTAACTGTAGTATTTATTGAAGATTCATCGTTAACATGTACAAACTGAGAACGATCTGATAAGTATGACTTAAACCAGCTTAATGCCAGTTTCTTTAATGCCAATTTGATGCTCAAGTCTCTGTAAAAGAATATTGTGGTCAATGGTGTCAAATGCAGCACTAAGATCTAATAATACAAGTACAGAGACAAGTCCGTTGTCTGAAGCAATCAAAAGGTCATTATTAACTTAACCAGAGCTGTCTCTATGCTGTGATTAACTCTAAATCCTGACTGAAAATCCTCAAATAAACTATTGTTATGTAAAGTCACACAACTCTTTGACGACTACTTTCTCCAGAATCTTAGAGAGGAAGGGGAGGTTAGAAATCGGTCTATAATTGGCTAAAACCCCTGGGTATGTACATGTATATACTACAGGTGCACACAGGTGTATTTTAATTTGTTGAAAAAATGTTGGCTCTACCTATGTTTACCTATTTATCACAAAAAAAACTTCCCTCTCACCCTCTTGGGGTGGTATCTGTGTCATCCTCAAGCTCGGGTCCTCTACCAGAGGCCTGGGAGTTTGAGGGTTCTGCGCAGTATCTTAGCTGTTCCTAGGACTGCGCTCTTCTGGACTGAGGCTTCTGATGTTGTTCCTGGGATCTGTTGGAGCCACTCCCCCAGTTTGGGGGTCACTGCCCCAAGTGCTCCTACTACCACGGGGACCACACTCGCCTTGACCTTCCACATCTGCTCCATCTGTTCTTTCAATTAATATTAAAGAGTTCGGTCTAGACCTGCTCTATTTGAAAAGTGTCCTGAGATAACTTCTGTTATGAATTGGCGCTATACAAATAAAATTGAATTGAATTGAATTGAATTGAACCCTTGGTACTTTTCAACCTTTTCGTGTTCCTTCTTTCTGATGTTGGCGTCCGCTGGTATGGCCACATCTATCACCACCACCTTCTGCGGCGGCTGTGGCTCAGAGGCAGAGCAGGTCGTTCCTCAATCGGAAGGTTGTGGGTTCGATCCCCCGCTCCTGGTGCCGCATGTCGAAGTATCCTTGAGCAAGATACTAAACCCCAAATTGCTCCCGATGCCGTGCATCGGTGTGTATGAATGTTAGTTTCTGTTCGATGGACTTTGCCATCACTGTGTGAATGTGTGTGAAAGGGTGAATGTGCCCGTAGTGTAAAGCGCTTTGGTGGTCGCTATACAAGTACGGTCCATTTACATTTACCATTCTTCTGTCCTTGTCTACCACACTATGTCTGGTTGGTTGGCCAGGATCTGTTTGTCAGTCTGGAAGCTGAAGTCCCAGCACCTTGGCCCTGTTGTTCTCAGTCACCTTCTGGGTGCGGCCCATTGGGATTTGGGTTCTTCTATTCCATACTGGGTACAAATGTTCCTGAACACTATTCCAGCCACTTGGTTGTGTTCTCCATGTCCTGAACCAGCTGCATCTTACACCCTGCTACTATGTGCTGGACTGTCTCAGGGCATCTTTGCAAGTTACCTTGGGTTAGTCCTACTCTTGTAGATCTTGGCCTCTATGGCTCTTGTACCTTGGGCCTGTTCTTGTGCTGCCATGATCTATGCCTCTGTGCTGTCTCTGAGTCCAGCCTTTTCCAGCCATTGGTAGGTCTTCTCGATATCAGCCACTTCTTCAATTTGGCGGTGGTACATGCCATGTAGGGGCTTGTCCCTCCAGGCTGTCTACTCCTCTTCCTCTGCACTCTTATCGGGTTTCTGTTGCCTGAGACATTCCCTTAGCAGTTCATCCTTTGTGGCCATTTTTCTGATATACTCTTGGATTTTTGATGTTTCATCCTGGATAGTGGCCTTGATGCTCACTAGTCCTCGGCCTCCCTCTTTCCGCTTAGCGTACAGTCTCAGGGTTTGGGGTGAAACCCTCCGTGCATGGTGAGGAGCTTTCTTGTCTTGATATCTGTGGCTTCTATCTCCTCCTTTGGCCAGCTTATGATCCCAGCAGGGTATCTGATGACTGGTAGTGCGTACATGTTGATGGCTTGGATCTTGTTCCTGCCATTCAGCTGACTTTTCAGGACCTGCCTTACTCTCTGGAGGTATTTGGTTGTGGTTGACTTCCTTGCGGCTTCCTCATGGTTTCCAAGAAGTGTACACCTGAGGCAATATATTAGATTTAGTGCAGCCACAAAAAGCTTTATACTATTTTTTTCACATATGCAGTGATGCTCACCCAAGACCTGTAAACACACTTTGATGTGTAAAATCGTTGAGTTCTCTTTAAACAACTGGTTTCTAAGTTAAATAATCTACAATGTTTGTGACTTTCAGTATAACTTTAATTTCATTAAAGTGAGACTATGTAACTTTAGTTCAAGTGACAATTACAGCGTATTGCTAAAGCGTTGTGTAACAGTCGCACAAGTAGAGATGAGTGATGAAGCCAGGAAACTGACTCAGTAATGTCAGTTACACAGTTACACAATTTCTATCCAACGTTTGCTCACATTAGCCACCGTAAGCTACCAGTCATACCAGACCAAGCTGCTGTACATCATGTCACAACCTACCTTCAACACTGCTCACTTTATTGTTTCCATCTACAGTATTTTATTTAACATATTTAATGTAGTTTTGACCAAAGCCTTACAGAGTCTAAATCTGTCAAACCAAATAAAAATGTCTGTTTATCTTCTGACTCCACATGCACACACAGTGACTCACCTGAGCTCCCTGCTTTGGTTAGTGCCAACCTGCTGAAATCCACAAAGAGCTTCTGTGTTTGTGCAAACCACTGTCACACAGAGCAGAGAGCTCTGTTTAGGCTGCTCAAACAGCCTGTTGTTTCCTGGGTACACCCCCTGGTAATGTTATCTATCTGCAAGGATGTACCAAACCAGATAGATTGGGATAAAATATCATCTATACTCAGAGTCCAAAAGCAGACGGGACATGACATGACCCCCGTTAAGGGAAGTGGAGACAGGTGAGCAGTGGGGTGGGGCAGTCAGGTGATGGGGAATGCCGGGAACAGGGGTTATAGCAGGTCAGGAGGGAGTGGCAGGATCTGAAAAGACAGGAGAGAGCAGTTAAATGAACAGGCTGGGAAAGGAAAACGGCAAGAATCAGACTGATATAGTCACACATTCCTGCATGTTTTATTAGAATTGGACCATAAATGTCTAACATTTGAATGTATTAATTAAACCTGTGGATGTTATCCTGAACATTGCAGAAGTTCTATTATATAGCCTGAATGACTAGTACTTCTTCAGGTAGGAAGTTATTAATTAACTGTACTTAGGTAGTTTTTTCAGGTATGTGTACTTTATTTATTTAATTTTTTACTTTTACTCTACATTTTTACACAAATATCTGTACTTTCTACTCTTTACATTTTCAAAACAGACTTGTTACTTAAGTTTTAATGCCTTTGAATTATTGATTATCATTATCATTATTTTTGCATCATTGCATGCCTTCCCAGCATCAAGACCCGTGCATATCATACATGAAAGACATAATGTGATGAAAACGAAAACAACCAACAAACAATGTCGAAACAGTCAAGAAAGATCTGGCCCTATTTAAAGATTCAGTTAGCTTTGGACAGAAATAGCTGGTAGAAAGCGTACTTTATACTTTTACAGTACATTTCAGAGCCTGTACTTTTTCACTTTTACTTGAGTAAAGACGTTGAATCAAGTATCTGTACTTCTACTTGAGTAAAGAATGTGTGTGCCACCTCTGTCCATCACTGCAAGGGTGTGAAACATCTCCATCTAACATGAGGAAAGGTAAATAATGAAACTTAATACAGAATGGGTGGATAATAATATTATTTAAACAATGTTAAGCCTTTTTTTCTGATCACTTTCTAGATGAATATTGATCATTGGAGGTTTCCCTTTGTCACTGCTCCAGTCAGACAGCACATACAGTATTTATGTTTCCCCAGAGAGGTAGAGATATATGGAGCAATTACTGCTACAGACCTCACATTACTGTGTTTTGCTCTCTAATGTGAGGGCCAACAGGGACAGACAGTTATAGAGAGTGCCATTTAGTGACTGTCCAGAGGTAATGTTTAAAGGGTCAGCTGTTAACCTTTAACCCTGTGATGAGATGGAGTTGATGCTCCTTGCTGTTGCGCTTCAGTCTGACTGTATTACTCTTATTATTTATTATAAACCCCTAAATGAGCTGTACACTCATATTAACAGCATAAAGCCACGATGGTGCATGAGGGATAAACAATGAGCTGTACAAATATTGGTTCAAAATAAAAGAACATCTCCGCAGTCAGTATAAATATGAACACGGCATGAAGAATCACATTCACTGTAACTGACCTAACAAGTGTACATCTTTGTGTTTAACTGAGATCTGTTTTAACACTTAATGTTGAAATTGGATCATATGTTAGTCTGGAAGAAGAAGAGTGGATTTGTCAATATTAGCTATGATATTAAATGGGTTCCTGTATTGTCCCTTTCACTGGGAACAGGAAAACAAACATGGACAATACACAAAGACTGTTGGCTGTTACATAAGAATAACTGAATGCAGCTTTAATACATTTTGTTTTTGACCACTTGGGGGGCAGCGGGCCAAGCCTTAAACACTGACCTTAAAATCCAGAAGACACGGACCAACATTAGCGTTCATTCTGAGTGCCCACTCGATGAATGTAATGTATGTAATGTGTTACCCCTCTCACATTATAAAAAATAAAAAGATTGAGCTAAATTTGCTGAAGTTACTTGTAGAAACTTTCAGAGATGAGGAGAATAAAAGGCATTTATCCTGATAAAAAAGAAGGTACATAAACATGATGTTTGTTACTTGAATTATAAGTATTAAAAACGTTTCTTTTGGCTCTGATGTATTGATGTTCGACAATGAACCCATAGGGTGGGCCAACTGTTTGTCATGACATAGAAATCAACTAACTGACTAATAAACTAACTTCAGCTGATTTTTACATGTGACTGTAACATTTGTCTGAAGCTGAACTGCAGACTATGATTAAAGTGTTTGGTGGCATTCTGTGTAGGATCCCTTATAATGTTCAGTGCAGGGAATGATTTAATTACACTGAGGTACCAATTAACAAACACTGTGATAAGGTTCTCCTTTTGTAATATCCTGTAAGGATTAGTGACACACCAGTGCCACTGTACAACAAACTAATTTACATTTCTATCACAACACTGAGAGAGACAGCATATTGGTCAATTTCTCCCCAGTGAAAGGATTTGTTCAATACTATGGATCTTGTTTGATGGTGGAGTATGAATCATACAGACAGATAGTAATGAATGTTTACATGTAATGACAACACTATTGGTATTATCTGTTTTTATTGCTTTTATTGCCAAACACTTTATAATGAACCGGAAAGTGTTTTTTTTCTACCATGAATTTGAAGTATAAGTAATAAGTAAGTAGTAAGTAATAAGAATACTTTTAATTTTTAAGCACTAAACTGATGTTACAAAGTGCTTCACACAAAAAAGAAACTGTTAACTGTAATATAAGATAAAATAAAGACTGTAGAGGATTCAAGTTTGAAAAGAATCTTTTATAAAAGTAGTAAAAGAGGAATGGAACTGCTGCTCATAAAGCTTACTAATGTGAGGACATTGTTATAATGATAATAACTAAAAGGGTCCCAACATTTTTATCAATGTAAAGATTCTGTCATATGTTGGAAGAGGAATATAAGGGAAGAGAGATGTTAGTGGGTAAATCCAACAGCCCCATGTGCCTCCCATCCCGGGTGGAAATCACAACCTCGGTTTCATATATGATGCTCTAAATGCCGTAATGTGTTTCCGCTCATATATGGAGTGTAATTTTTTGTTTGCTTTTCAGTGTATCTGCAAAACAGGTCCATAAACACTGAACCTACAAATTTGTAAAATGTCGACTTCCTGTGTTTATGAATCATATCAATGCTCCACACATTCTGAAAAGCAGCGGTTCCATTCAGATTCTGCGAGGCCATAAAGCTTATGAGAAGGATCCATCATACATGTCTCTGGGCAAGATATGTAATTGGGTTCTGTATTTTCAATATGAATGCTTGGAGTATTGAGCTAACACAGTGGCATAAATGGAAATCCATTAGGCTCAGATGTAATTCAAATATAACTCAA